GGCTCCAGCCTGTAGCTCACCCCTCCCACCCCTCAGGTGGGCCTTCACCTTGATCATCATCTCCTCCTACACGGCCAACCTGGCCGCCTTCCTCACCGTGCAGCGCATGGAGGTGCCTGTGGAGTCAGCTGACGACCTGGCAGATCAGACCAACATTGAGTATGGAACCATCCACGCCGGCTCCACCATGACCTTCTTCCAGGTAGGGCCACCCGGAACCTCTCAGGCTTGGTGTTGGGATTCCTGTGAAGCTCAAGCTATGGCTGGACACAGCTCCTGGGCCAGAGGGACTAGTTGTCAGTGACGGTCGGGGAAACTGTGAGCAGAAGACACATTATCATTCTTGTGCTGATGCCTGGCTGGGGAAACTGGACTTTTCCACTCAGAGGATGGGAGAAGGGAGGCAATGTGGTATCCAGTGTCGAATAAGTGCCATACAGGCCAATGGGGGTCAAGCAGGCTTCTGGGAGGTCAGGTCTGGGAGAGTGGGCCAGCAGAGAGGAGGGGAAACCCTTCATGGTGAAAGGAGCTTGTATTTTGGGGTGCTGGGGAGAAAAAAGGAAAGCAAGACTGGCAAGGAAATTTGGGTCGAAGACTACAGAAACCTCAGATGCCAGGTGGGGCACTTAGATTGGATCCTGTGAGGGAAAAGGAACCTTGGTGGTGCAATGGTTAAGTGCTCATCTGCTAACTGAAAAGTCAACAGCTCAAACTACCAATAGCTCTGCAGCAGAAAAGACCTGGCGACCTGGATCCATAAAGATTACAGCCTAGGAAACCCTATGGAGCAGTTCTGCTGAGTCCTGTAGGGTCACTATGAGTTGGAATCAACTCGATGGCATCCAACAAGTGAGGAAATGGGAATGGTTTTTGAGCAGAGAGTTGACCTGCTTAGAGCTGGAAGTTCCCTCTGGGTCTAGATTTGGTATAGCTCAGTCTAGAGGAGGCTGGAGCTGGGCAGGGACTGTTGGCTGAAGGATTAAGGGAGAGGAGGGGAGGTCTCCCAGGAGGGTGTTGAGGCCATCACTAGGTGGGAATGGGTTTGGGAAGTTGCTGAGCAATGGTGAGGGGCCTCTAGGGCATCTAGGAAGAGTAATGTCTGGACCTCAGGTCAAGCAGGGAGAGGCAGGTGGAAGAGGGCGTGTGGGGTGGTCATTTCCAGCCTGGCCTCCACACCCCTCACTCCTCAGGGCTTGCAAAGCCCTGGGACTATAGCTGCTGTTGGGGTTGAGTACTCCCTAGGAAGTTTCCACTGAACTTGTGGGAAGTGAGGTTTTCTATTTGGTATGGATGTGGGTCTCTGAATCATGCTGGGCCCTGAGTAGATTCTGGGGTTGAGCATCTGCTTCTATCTTCCGTGACTAAGGCCTGGGAGTGCTGAGAAGATAGGGCTGGTGTCAGGCTGAGCCCGGCCTGGGGTGAAGACAGGAAAGATTGTGAAATAGACCGTGGACCCTTCTTCCCCAAGCCTTGGGTTCTCGGGGTCTGTGCCAGGCTGGTGGGTGTGGGCATGACTTAGATCGGGCCTTGGACAGTCATCAGTTTGACTCTGTCTTTGGCTCCTTCTGTCTTCGTCTCGTCTCCTCTTTCCTGAGTTGAGAGAGGCTCTTGAAGGGCAGGAGACAGGGCTAAGGGAAAGGAAGGGGGTACAGAGACCCTCACCTTTCTTTCCCCTGTGTTCCCTCTGCCCAGAATTCACGGTACCAGACGTACCAGCGTATGTGGAACTACATGCAGTCAAAGCAGCCCAGTGTGTTCGTCAAGAGCACGGAAGAGGGCATCGCCCGTGTCCTCAACTCCCGCTATGCCTTCCTGCTTGAGTCCACCATGAATGAGTACCACCGGCGCCTCAACTGCAACCTCACCCAGATCGGGGGCCTCCTCGACACCAAGGGCTATGGCATCGGCATGCCGCTGGGTATGACAGCTAGTGTGGAAGGGGGTGGGGGCCCCATGCATCAGAAACTAAGGTGTGTGATCAGGCTGGGGACTGGGCCAGGCCCTCTCTGAGGCAAGCTCTATGTCTGTGTGTGTGTGTGTGTGTGTGTGTTTGTGTGTGTGTGTATGGCCTCGGGCAGGTGATTTCACCATCCTGAGCCTCTGCACCCTCAACCTGTAACAATGGGCCTAGAAGCAATCAGTTCCAGCCTTGGGGGTCTGTTGGGAGAATCCAGTGAGACTTTGCATGTAAAATTCAGTGCCTGCCTGTGAGCTATGATGCTTGAAGTCTTTCACCACTGGCCTGAGTACTCCCTGAGGGTGAGGACCTGGTTTTCTTTCCTTCATATTTTATGCTCCAAACCCACAGCCTGCCTCAATGCAGGTGCCCAGAAAGTGCTTGTTGGTTGAGTGGATGGATAGATGGATGGATGGATGGATGGATGAATGTATGGATGGACATAGCAGTGACTCGGTAAATATTTGTTGGATAGTGGGTGGGTAGATGGATGGATGGATGAGTGGATGGATGGGTAGGTGGGTGGATGGGGGGATGGATGGGTGGGTGGACGGTAGGAGAGTGGATGGATGGACATAGTAGGGACCTGGTAAGTATTTGTTGGATGGGTGGGTGGTTGGGTAGGTGGGTGTATGGATGGACGTAGTAGAGACTCAGTATTTGTTGGATGGGTGAGTGGATAGGTAGATTGGAGGATGGATGGGTGGGTGGGTGGATGGGTGGGTGGATGGATTGATGGATGAATGGGTGAGTAGATGGATGAGTGGGTAGATAGATTTCTGGATGGATGGATTGGTGAAGGATGAGTGGATAGATAGATGGGTGGGTGGATGGACGGATGGACTGGTAGGTGGATGGGTGAATGGGTGGATGGGTGGGTGGGTAGATGGATGGATGGATGGATTGGTGGATAGATGAGTAAATGGATGGATGGATGGATTGGTAGATGGATGAGTGGATGGATAGATTCGTGGATGGATGAGTAGATGGATGGATCGATGGATGGATGGGTGGGTGAGTGGATGAGTGGATGGTCAGGTCTGCCAGGGAGACTTGGACATGCCTATTTATACTTCAGGACATGCTGTCCAGGGCTCAGTGCTGGAAACCAATCACCAAATTATGTCACGGGCATTTGGGCTTTGGAAACCATCTATATGTGAATGACTGCTCTACTAATTAACTATTCCTACATAACAAACTACCCTAAAACTTAACAGCTTTGCAGTAGAATCAGTGCTATGTCAAGGAAATGGTACAGCCTGGTGCTTTGATGGGCAGGCTCTGGAGTCATACCAACCTGGATTCAAATCCAAGCTCCTCCTTGACTCACTCTGTGACCTCAGGCAAGGGTGTCACCTTCCCCATCCAGAAAATAGGGGTCGTAATCCTTGCCTCGGATCCCTGGTGGTGCAGTGGTTAAGAGCTAAGCTGCTCACCAAAAGGTCAGCAGTTCAAATCCACCAGCCACTCCTTGGAAACCCTATGGAGCAGTTCTTCTCTGTCCTATAGGGTCGCTATGAGTCAGAATCAGTGGGTTTGGTTTGTTAATCCTTGTCTCACAGGATCACTGTGAGATGTAAATAAATTTCTGTAACCCAAGGTCTGTCACATAGTCGATACCTGATAAATACTGATCACCCTCACTTGACCATATCCCTAGTTCCTGGCCTGTGGTAGTCGCCCATCAAGTATCTTAGTGAATGAAGAAATGAGTATAAAAAGGGATATGTTGGCAGGGGGGACTAGGACCCAAGGATGGTTTAAAGGGCAGATCTGAGGGTGGTCAGGAGAGAGGTGGTCCAGGCTTGGGGCCAAGCAGAGGAGAGGTATGGATGGGGATTCACTCACTTAACAGCTATGTCTGATGCCCTATGGGGTGCC